CGTACATAACTAAAATTATTTTAGTATTTAGAGTCTACTTGTTAAAGTAATAGTGCATAATGCTAAATGATAATGATTCATATATATTTAACACTATAGGACATATGATGTGCACGATAATTTTATGCATTATCAAGTAATCACCACAATCATCCTATAAATGACAGAGTATTGACACATTTTATCAATGAGAAAACAAAGGTTTAGAGAAGTTATGTAAAGACTTGAAAATACACAGTTTTGTTGGTTTTAATTAAACAATGTTGTGATCATTTGCTAAAATAAGGGATAAGTAAGCTCCATAAAGTGGGAGTAGAATTGGTTGTTTTCTGATTATTTCATAAGCATCTGCTTCAAGAACAATTGTCAGGTTTTATGGTGCCATCACAATTGTATAACAGGCCCTGTAAAACCTGAGTAATGTATAACAGTAAGTCATTTCTGTACAGTGGACATGACTGACATAGATACCGAGTATTTTGATTGTGATGCTCTGGGATAATCTAAAACAAAGATCCTCCTTTAATAAGGAAACTGCATGTAAACCAACTCCCTTTTCTCAGGAATTCATTGATCAAAATCTCATTCTCATTATCTGTCTAAATGAAACAGAACTATTAATTAATTATTCATCTAGTTTGTGAAATACACCATTATTGTGATTCTACATTTTGTAACACTGATCTTTAAAACTATTACTTGTTTTCATTGTTTTAGGTTTTCTTCTTTCATAACCAAAGTGTAGATCCTTCAAAGTCTGTAGGGATCATGACTTAGAAAGAAATGAAAAAAAGAGAGTTTTATACCTCGTTTAATAAATATAATTAAAATGCCCTGTCTTAAGAATGTGGAATCTCTGAAGTGAGTAAAAGAAGAATCCAAAGAAAATAATGAAAAGCACAATGATGCTCAGGGCATTGTCCCACAATCAGAGAAGGGGTAGAAACTGGCTGATGAAATGTAGGGGTCACTCTGGAGACCTGGGTCTGGGGCAAATTTCAGACTGGGTGTTCAGAGAGTATCCAGAATGGATAGCAAATTCAAGAAGGTAGCCTCTAGCAGACCTTGGATCACTTTAAAATAAATATACTACTTTTTATGTGAAAATGCATGAAGACTGAAACACAACTGGTTATTAGGGACAGACAGGGATTTATTTTCACTTCAACATTAAAGCCCATAGCTATAATACAACATATTCATAAACACTTGGGATTTCCAGAGAGTGACTTTATTTTTATATTCTCCAACGACTACCAGGCCCTCTTATCTAAGGTGACTTACAAATCTGAAGTCAAGGTCAGCCAACCATTAAAATTATAAGACAGAACCCAGACCAAATGCGGACACTAGCAAGACCAGGATGCCAAGCAAGCTAGAAGCAGGCAGGTGCCACTGTGGGCTTTCCTCCCACATCTCTGGAGATTATGGCATTTTAATTTTTTAAATATTTATTTATTTATTTTCATGTGTATGAGTGTTTTCCTGCATGTAAGTGCACCACATCCATGCAGTGCCCATGGAGGCCAGAAGAGAGTATCGGATTCCCTAGAACTGGAATAACTGTGATTATTAGCTACCATGTGGGTGCTGGGAACCAAGCAGCCAGTGCTCTTAACCACTGAGCCATCTCTCCAGCCCCAACTCTGGCATTTCAAAGTAATCTTTAAAGCAAAAGAATTGCTGGGTGTGGTGGCACATGCCTTTGATCCCAGTGCTCATGAGGTAGAGGCAGGCAGATGGATCTCTATGAGATGGAGGTCAGCCCAGCCTGGTCTACATAGTGAGTTCCAGACACACCAACCAACCAACCAACCAACCAACCAACCAACCAACCAACCACAACAAAAAGCAAAGCAATTGGTACAATGGCCTGGGACTATGATCCCAGTACGCAGAAGGCTGAGATAGAAGTGTGAGTTCAGTTTGATGCTAGCCCTGTCAATATAATGTGACAATATTGCAAAACAACAATAACAAAATAATTTTTAAAAAAGCATAAGGGATACAACAAAATCTGTACAAATGCACTTAAAGGTCTAAAGAATGAACTGAGCAGACACTGAGAAGAAAAGGACAGAGGGCTGACCCACCCTTATATTATTATAAGATGCTAGTGTGCAGAAAGGTGAAGACTTTACCATGGGGTGGGTGGGGAGGAGAGGCAGGCTTAGAGGACGTGCAAACTATGCAGTCACAAGAGCCCCAGGCTCCGGAGGAACTGGATTCAGAAGGGAGTGCTCTGCCCCAGACAGTAAGCTGTGTCATTCTCCCTGACCACAACGAGAGTACTACTGACTCTGCCCTTCCAAATGTTTCAGAAAGTCCTTTCCTCCACTGACAATGCCACTTCTCCAGACACTCTAGCAGCAGCCTCCTAATGGATCTTCTTCAAACTACTTTAGAGGATGCCTGGCCTTTCTAAATGGCATTCTCTAATCCCACCCCAAATGGCTCTGACTTCAGCCAGGATGGGTGAGCATATTATTTTGTTGGCTAAGGCCCTGCATTTTTTTTTTCAAGAACATTGTGCTTCTACTTCTGAGAATTCCCCGGTTTATACCCTTCAACAATGTTCTTCTTACCCCCATACTTGGCACCTAGCCAAACTATGGTGTGTGGAAATCAGAGCCTTCCTTTGGGATTCTGTTAGAGTAGAGGCTGCATGATTTCAAAAGCTACCCAGCATCCATGATTTCTGCCAATCAGGGAATCTGTCAGTATCCAAGTAAGTAGAAATAAGCACCGGTGAGTTCTAGCAGTCTGTGATTCTGCTGCTGGCTTCCCGAGGCCCAGTTGCCATCTCTAATTTTTTGTTTAACTCTTACATGGATTCTCTGAGTCAATAAACTCTTTTTTTGGATGAAGTTAAAGTTTGTTTCTATTCATTGCTGTTGCACATACAACAAGGCATTTCATTAACTGTCTCTTACCTCTCTACCTACCTACTCTCACACAGAGTATATTTCTTTTTGAAAAGTATTTTATTATTTTTATTTTATGTGTGAGTGTATTACCTGCATGTATGTAAGTGCACCCGTGTCATGCAATGTCTGCAGGTTAGAAGAGCGTGATGAATACCTTAGAACTGGAGTTACAGAGGTTGTTAGCCTCAAGTGGGTGCTGGGATTTGAATCCTGGTCCTCTGCAAGAGTAGACTGTGCTCTTAACTGCCGAGCCATCTCTCCAGCTCCCAACAAAACATTTCTTGTCCCACTCACTCAACATGTTACTTCACATCCCTGCATACACAAATTTCTCTGGACCTCGGATTCTAATGTTGGGCTAACTTCCTCTGTGAAATCTTTCTTGAGTCCCCTGAACAAATTCAGGTACCCCTATTTTGGTTTCCAGCAGCTCATGAATAAATCCAAGCTCTTGTCACAGTGTACTGTAATTGCCCATGTCAATAGGCAATATGCCCTAGATAATAGTTGTTGGCAAAGATAGTAAGAAGTTGGACTCTGTCACCAAGTAAGGGAACTCTACCACTTGGGTAGCCCTGTGTGGCTCATCAGCTTCTCATCAAAAACGAAGCACCCATTTTAAAAATGGCTGTGCAAATGAGATGTGTTTAAGCACTTGGGACAGTGCCCACCCCTTAATTGTTAGCGATTGTCACCATGATCCCTGAAAACAGAAACCATAACCATAATTTTGTCTTCCTAGCCCTTGGTATTATGTCTAACCCAAGGAATGACTAAGTATTTGCTTGCTTGACTTTTGTCCCTCCTTCAGCTTCATGTCCCATGTGTTCTAGTGCCTTGTCTTTTGTTTTGAGACAGTCTTCCAGAGGCCCCAGCTGGCCTGGAACTCAGATCTCAAAGATCTGTCTGCTTCTGCCTCCCTGGAGTGTTGGGATTAAAGGCGTGAGTCACCATGCCCAGCTATTAATCTTTCATTCCTCCTCCCTCTTCAGGATCTCTTCCTTCCCTCTTCTGGTCTGCTTTTCAGTATGTGTACACACACACATACACACAGAGATATACAAATTTAAATATAGTTCCATGTGTGAAGAAAACATGGTATTTGTCTTTCTGAATCTGATTTATTCTACTCCATATAATTATTAATATTTCCAGTTCCATGTATTCCTCTGCAAATACTACAATTTCATTTTTCTTTATAGCTGAATGAAAGTCCACTTTGTATAAGCATCAGTTTCGTTGTCCATTCTTCTGCTGATGGACATCTAGGCTGGTTCCATTTCCTAGCTACTGTGAAGAGTTGCTTGACTTGAAAATTAAATCAAAGCAGGGCTAGATATGAGTGCAGAATCCCTATAAAGAGTTCCTGATCATAATAATAGAGGGGTTCAGGCCTGGAGCTCACCACGTTAAGGAGGTGGGTGGGTCTCCCCAGCCTTCCAGAACCTGCTAACTGGGAACCTCAAAGGCACTGGGGATTACCAACTGGGATGGGTTGGTGAAAAGGTTTATTGCTCTCATTGGCACTCTAATCACGAAGTACCACCAGGTTTTGTGCCTGGGAAATGTCAACACGCATTTGAAGTCAAAGGCTTTGAGGAGTTGAGCTATGGGATGAGCCCCTGGAAATGAGCCCATTCCAACACGGAGACTTAAACCCTAGACTTACAAATTAGGATCACTTAACTGTCAGCGGGCAATACATATTCCCTCCTACCCTATTAGGGCAACGCTGAAAATAAAGTCCATAAAGCCATGAGTTGTGTCCACACTGTCAAACGCTGACCTGGTATCTACTGAAAAACAGACTAAAAGAACCGGAGAAATTAAATGGGAAGTTTGATTTGTTGTGTGGGCAAAGACAGAAGAGGCATAAGTGCAACCCGCAGTGAGACCAGCGCCCCGGCTGGCCCGCGCAGAGTCCGGTGCCCTGTAATCCCAGACCCGGTGGCTGCCAAGCGCAGGCGCGGCCGCGGAGCAGCGGGGGCGGCCAGTCCACGAGGGACTTCCCGGCGAGGCGGCTCCCGCCCGGTCTCCCGCCCCCACCCCGCAGCAGCTGGGACGAGACAGTACCGGTGGGCAACTCCGGATCCCGGGTGCTTGTCTCAGCTCTGCTCCCGGCCTCCGCGGACAGCATCAGGAGGACGAGGACAATCATGCTGCTGGCTGCGTCCTCCCGGTCCACCCCGGAGCAGGCTAGCTCGGCTGCCTGCACCGCCCTGGGGCCTCGGCCTGGCGTCACGTCCGCCGCGGGCTCCCTCCGGTCTACCCAGCAGGAGGCGGAGCGGCGGCTGCGGGCTGAGCTGGGCCTAGGATGGAGGACAGTCACCGGGAAACGG